AAGGATTTACAAGAGAAAATGAAGATTATTAAATGCTCAACAACTTAGCCAGGCCCCATAGAGACAGACCCCTTCAGAAATGGTGTCTTTGTTCACTACATAGGTTTTCCCTGCTGATTTAGTGCTTCTGCTCTCTATTAGCTACCTCAAGTTCTGGTCCCTAGATCCCTGTCTGTATACTCTTCTCTCTCGTTCTCATTGCTAAAGCTCACATTCACATTACAAAGAGAGTATCTGATTTATAAGCCAGGCCAGCTTATAAATTATTAGTCAGCTGTGAGAATCCCTGTTCTTGGATCATGTGCCAAACTTGATTGAGTAGGGTCATGTGATATTATATAAAACCTGACAGAAGGGCCCTTGGCATAGCAAGCACTCAGCATTATCATTTCTACTCCTCTAACAATTGACTTACTTTTAACTTATTAAGGACAGTTATTAGACTGGATTCCCCCCCCCCCCCAAACCAGTCAGCTACATACTTATAGATTTAAGGTTTAGATGAATTGCTGATCTCATTCCAGAAATGTTGAGGTGTTTTTTCCTCCTAATTTCATCCTTAGGTGAATTTCCTTTTTAGCCACAAAACAAAAGATAGCCTTCACCATCTTTTAGCCACAACTTAAAATAAACTCATGGTACTAATTGTTAGTCCAAGAAATCCCATCTGTTAAGAGACTATGAAGGGAAGCGAGAATTCAGAATTCGAAACAAAAATGTTTCCATTCTTGTTAGTATGTCTAAATTTGGAGGAAGAAGATTGAAGCTTTGAGCTGGTCTTACATGATTTTTATTTCCCCCACAAACTTTTTATTTTATTTTATATTGCCTTTTAAAAAAGATATATTTTATTGAATTTTTACAGAGAGGAAGGAAAGAGATAGTTAGAAACATTGATGAGAGAGAAACATCGATCACCTGCCTCCTGCACACCCCCCACTGGGGATATACCCACAACCAAGGTACATGCTTTTGACCGGTATCGAACTTGGGATCTTTCAGTTCACAGGCCAACGCTCCCCCAGGACATTTTAATGATTTTTATTCTACCATTTTTATTGGTAGAATAAAAATCATTAAAATGTCTCTTTTTTCAACATCCTATAGTTTTCAGAGTACAGGTCTTTTACCTCCTTGGTTAAGTTTATTCCTAGGTATCTTAAATTTTTTGTTGCAATGGTGATCATTAAGTCTTATTAATAATAAAGGTTACCACCAAAACCTATTTGGCTCAGTGGATGGAGTGTCGGCCTGTGGACTGAGGGGTCCCAGGTTTGATTCTGGTCAGGGGCATGTGCCTTGGTTGTGGGCACATCCCTGGTGGGAGTAGGGGGTGCAGAAAGCAGCTGATCGATGGTTCTCTCTCATCCTCTCTGTGAAAAATCAATGAAATATATTAAAATAATAATAATAATAATAAAGATTACCATAGTCCATCAGTAAGTTCTCAGTGCTAATGAAAACTTAAATTTTTTGGTGTATGAGTTTAGCCATAATTATTCATTCCTTGTTTATAGGGGCTGTGCCATGTGCCAACTGTGTGTGCAAGAGAAATACTATGTTATGTTTTTTTGCTTTCTGATCCCCACTACAAAATGTCAGTCCCAGAAAAAATTTTTAGGAAACTCAACCCATGGTATTGTTGGAATTTGGTCTCTGTCACTAGCTATGTAACTGCCGGAAGCCAATTCCAGCATGTCATAAAAGCAAGAGTTTCATCAAAAGGTTGATGGAACTTGGGAACTCAGTAAGAGCTGAATCACATATGTTATTGCCTGTTGGAAATGGCTGAGAGCATTTCCTCAAATTGAAAAAAGGATGCAAAACTGATTGCTTACTGCCAGACAGCTGAGGGCATTTCAATCTACATGTTATTGCCCCTTACTGGCCATACACCTGAAGAGCCAAAGGCAATTCCTCCAATCTGACAATGGATTCTGTATACTAAACCTTGCTTTAGGATAATTTGGGTTAATAAAAAGTAAGGAGTCCAGAGAGACGAGAGAACTTGATTTCTTTAAAAAATTTTTTTTAAATTTTTTTATTTTGTACAGAGAGGAAGGGAGAGAGATAGAGAGTTAGAAACATCGATGAGAGAGAATCATCGATCAGCTGCCTCTTGCACACCCTCTACTGGGGATTATGCCCACAACCAAGGTACGTGCCCTTGATTGGAATCGAACCCGGGACCCTTCAGTCCCCAAGCCGACGCTCTATTGAGCCAAACCTGTCTCGGAGAGAGAACTAGATTTCTTTAGCCAGTTCCTCTGGCCCCCCAAATGCCTTCCAAAATTATGTTTTGTCTCTGCACTCTTCAATAATTTACACACAGCACCTTCTCTAGATTCCTGAACCCCTTGCAGATGCCAAGAAACATACACCGGCATGTAACCTTGGACAAATTGCTTTTCTGTGCCTGTTTCTTCATCTGTAAAATGGGGAAAATACCACATATGATTGTTGTCAGAAATAAGTAAGGTTGTTTATACAAAACACTTAGATAGTGCCTAATATATGGTAAGTGCTGCTGCTAGATTATGATGCCTAGTAGTTGAATATATGAAGCCTCCTTGGCCTCATCAATCTGTCTTTTTCTTCATTTAGTGTAAAATGAATATGTTTCTTGGTTGGAGGTTTATAGTATATCTTTAGTTTCCATCATCAAGGCAGTTTTCTAGAGATTAGTGAACTGAAGGACATGGTCTGTAGATAGTCTTGTTTCATTTTGAGGTTGGACACCAAAATTGCATGTCTCGCTCGCCAGCCTTCCTTTGGTAATGCTTTGGCAGGAAAATTTTATTTTGAAATTCTTACAAAGCTGATATTCCCCTCATTACAACATTCTTTTTTGGGAGCTAGAGGGAATGGGGTGCTAGTGATGTGAAAGTAGGGTATAGGAAAGGGGCAATTTAGAATCAAGACTTGATTTTAGCTGGAAAAACTTAAAGGCAAGGGATTTTCTAATTAAAAATTACTTTCTTAAAGGGGAAATTTTTATTTCTTTATCAAGAAGTGAGATTAATTTTTTCCATATTTGTGAGACTGAACATTTTTTTCATTATGTTCTACTTGTATGAATTGCCTGTTCATGTCCTTGACCTAAATTTTGTTTTATGAGGAGACTTGTTGTAGAAAAAGGATAGTAAACCTTTGCCAAATATATTTCATATATATTTGTCAATTGTCTTCTTTTATCCTTGGTTGTGCTTTTTTATATTACTGCATAGATAATAAATGAATCTATCGATATAAATATTTCCTGAAAAGTATTATCATTATGGTTAGAGGGAGAATATCTGCCAAGTGCTGCTGAGTGTCATAGTTTATATGTAGACTTATCCATTTAATAAGCATTTTCCTTAAAAATAGGTAGTTGATTGTCATGGGATTTGAAGACTCATTGCAAACTAACATAGGCCTGAGGCTGTAACATCATAATAATAGCTACTACTTACTGCACACAGGCTGTATGCCAGGCAGTATTCTATGCTTTTATGTACTACTAGAGGACCAATGCACGAAATTTGTGCAAGAGTAGGCCTTCCTTCCCCCAGCCGCCAGCAGGCACCCAGACCCGGCTTCCCTTGCAGCCCTGGCTTCATCCGGAAGGTTGTCTGGTCTAATTAGCATATTACACTTCTATTGTTCTAGATGTTCCTAATACTCCAAGCTAAATATTATTGTCCCACACAGTGCCTTGATGAGTAAAATGGGGCTAGAAGAAATGAAATGATTTGTTCAGGGTCAAGAACTAGTTAGTGACTGGATTGGAAATTTAATTTGTCTGCCTAACTTCAAAGTTTATATATTTTTTTACAAAGGTCGGCTTCTTGAGGCTTTGAATAAATTGGTCGTAAATATTTTTTACCTGAACTTGAAAAGATGGTCTGTACCTTAGAGTGCTCTTGGTTCCTGAGAACATAGTAGATAAGATAAATGAGAAGTATGTAAACTAGTGAAAGAAAGATCTCTGCTGTCCAAGACAGTGGTTTTCAAAGTGTAATTCCCAAACCAACATCAGCATCACTTGGGCATTTATTAGAAATGCAAGATCTCATTTCCCACTCGAATCTACAGAATCAGAAGCTCTGGGGTTGGAACCCAGCAATCTGTTTTATAACATTTATAGCTGATTGTGATTCATGTTAAAATTTGAGAGCCACGGGTCTAGAGAAATTATTTATTTTCTCAAACCATAATTTCTTCTCTTGTGAGCTTCAGCTTAAGTCTCAACCCTTAGGTGCAAAATTAGTATCATCAAATAGTGGCAAAAGCTGAACGCAAAGCAGGTTGTTTTGAGTCCAATTTAATAAGCACTTAAGGCAAGTATACTTCCTGAGCTATAGTTTTTCATCTCTAAAATGATGTTAATAACATCTCTCTCCATCTAAGATTTTTTTTTAGAATTAAGGTAATGTGTAAAGTACTTACTAACACTTTGCCAGAATCCCAGTTTTTCTAGTCAAGCAAAAAGCCCCCACCCCTCTTCTGTTCTCAACTTCTCTTGTTTCTTGAATGTATTTTGTTATCTTGTGTTACAGGCCTTTGCATTAGCTATTTCTCTTGGACAATCCTACCGCCCATCCCTCTTTATCTCACCAACTTCTTACATCTATAGATCCCTGCCTTTAGTTTACTTCCCTTGGAGGCGACTTTCTCTAGTCCCCATGCCCCAGTCTCTGTGTGTCACCGTAAATATCACCTAGGGCAGATACAGTCTCTTATAAACCACAACATTCTAGGGGACAGTCAAGTTCCTCACACATTGTAGGAGCTAATAAATGTTGAATGAATGAATGGTAGCTGTCTTATTGTTTCATCATCATCACCCAAGAACAAGCTCCCCTCTCTGCCTTGTAGTTTTTGTGCTGACTGGTTGTAATGCTCAGAGATAGTATTAGGACCAGTGCTTGCTTTCTCTTCCTCTGAAAGCTTTTACCTAGGCTGACAATGGTGGTTCATTGACCTGATTTTTAACCACTGATCTCTCTGTATTGCAGGTGCCTTGGTGGAACTGTGTTCTTTGATGGATCAAGTTCATCATATGCATAACCATCCGCATCCTTCGGACCTCACCATTCGGTGAGTGGGTGATTAAAGGGAGGAGGAAGAGGGTAGAATTTGCTATAAGAGGATTGTGGTGGGAAGTTGAGGTTATAATTGTTTAAAACCAGAGGTGGAAAAAGAGGAATACAGTATAATGGAATAAGAACTGGACTGACATTCAGGAAACCTAGGTTTTAGTACTAGCTTTGCAGTTTTTCATCTATTTGATTTTAATCTAATCACTTTACTTCTCTGGTTCTTGCATCTGTAAAATTAAGATGTTGGACTAATTAATGTCAAAGGGTCTTTTAAAAATATTTTTATTGGTTTTAGAGAGAGATAGAAAGAAACATCAATATGAGAGAGAAACAGTCAGCTTCCTCCTAAAACCCCCTAGTGGGGATTGAGCCTGCAACCTGGGCATGTGTCCTGACCGGGAATGGAACCGGTGACCCTTTGGTGCATGGAACAACACTCAACCAACTGAGCCTCTCTGGCCAGGGTTCAAAGGGCCTTTCTAGTGCCGAAATCTTACGGATTCTTCTTGATGCAGTGTAATTTTATAGACTTAGTCAGTTACTTTGACCAGTTACCCAGAAAACTTAAAGTAATTTTTGGCTCCTTTCTCTCTTTCCATATATTTATTCCATTAGCAAATTTTGTAAGCACCACATACAAAATATATCTAAAACCTGATCATTTTGCATAATTTTCACCTGATTATTGCAAATCTAAATCACCTCCTGCTTCTGCCTTTGCCCGTCAACTGTTCTTAGCTCAGTAGCCAAAGAGATTCTTTTAGAACATTAGTCCATGTTAGATTTTCTTCTTTGCTCAGGATTTTCAAATGGTTTTTGATTTCCCACCTTCTCATTTTCATGATCCACTACATCCCCTACTAAGGATCGTGGCCTAGTCTGACAGCTCATTAACCTCATCTCCTACTACTCTGTGCTTTATTCATTCTGCTCTAGTCACTGGCTTCCTTGCTATTTTTCAAGGATGCAGACATTCTCCTACCTCAGCCTTTACACTCACTGTTTCATCTGTAGTTATCAGAAAGACAATGTAGTGTAATGGTTAGTAAATAAATTCTGGTGTGAATTCAAATCCAGGCTCTTCTGCTTACTCCACTATATGACCTTGAACAAGTTAGTTAACCTGAGGATCAGTTTCCTTATTCAAGGGCATGTGCCTTGGTTGTGGGCACATCCCCAGTGGGAGGTGTGCAGGAGGCAGTTGATAGATATTTCTCTCTCATCGATGTTTCTAACTCTCTCTCCCTCTCCCTTCCTCTCTGTAAAAAGTCAATAAAATATATATTTTTTTAAATGAGATGAGGTGTTCAAAGAATTGAAGTGCTTGTATATAGTGCTAAGTAAATGTCAGGTATTGTTACAATTATTTTCAACTCTGGCTGTTCCTCATAATCATCTCTGGAGATGTCCAAAAATATAGGTGTCCAGGCTTTGATTATAGGGATTCTAAGTCATTAAGTCTGGAGGTGAGGGATGGGACAAGAATCTACATCTTTAAAAAGTTTCCCAGGTGGGTTATTAGGAACAGTGGAGTTGAGAATGGGCTCAAATGATCTCAATGGGTCCTCTTCAGAACCCAGCCCCGCACATGACTAAAGGAGACTCAAGAAACTCTAAGTCTGTGCTGTTAATTGTTCAGTCCCTAAACTTCCAGTGTGAAGCTCACATGATGACTTACTACCTTCTCTGGGAATTTTATTCTAATTTTAACTTCTGTGTCCTGAGCAACCTTGAGCTGTGTCAGACAGTGAGGACCTATTGATGCAAGCAATGAAATGTAGATCCTGTTCTAAATGTTCCCAGAGGGGGAAAGTATTTTTTTTTTTCTACTTAATCTCTATTATACATTGTTTTCTTGGGACATTTGTTACCACATAATACCTGTCTGGGAGTTAGGTGCTTTGGAATTTGGAAGGACATAGCAATTATAATATGACCTTTGTATAAAATTTCTAAAATTTGAGAATTGAAATGTAAAATTTATTTGATTTCTTAAAGTAATGATATTCTTAAAATAGTTGTATACAAAGAGCCATCCCAGCTGAAACCATCATCTTTTCTGTTTTTATTTTCTCTCTCTCTCTGTTAACAGAAACTATGCCCGGTTCCGACAGAAACCTCTGGAAAGATACAGTCTGACTCAGTGGGTTGACAGGAACAAGCGAAGCCACCAGCGGTTCCAGAGTCTCTAAGATAACCAATACAGTCCATGTGTCTCACCCTGTTAGCAGTGAAGGTCCCTGTCCAGGTCCTGTCCAGAGTAGCATCTTGTCTTCTGCTGTTTTGTGCTTGGCAGATTTTGAATTTTATTTTCCACAAGATTTTTATTTAAAGAACTTTTTGCCTTTCGGAAGTGCCCATTGCCAACTTGAAATTTTTTTGTATAAAATCCTTCAGGCGTGCGTGCGTGTGTGCGTGCGTGCATGCATGTGTGTTTAAGCAGTGTTAAGATGATACAGTTTTTGTTTCTTTAAATTGAAGGTGGCCACCTCCTGAAAGCTGACATTAGGCGAAAACACCCAGGCTCAAACTAATCACCCACCTTTATGCAGAAGTGAAGTCTACTGGTGCCCAAAAGAAGTAATCTTTTAATCTTCTATAAGGAAGAGATTCCTTATCAGGCTGCAAGCCATTGTTAATTGCTCATGATTTATAAATGGATACAAATAACTTTTAACACCTCTAATTACCTGTCAAAATTTTCAAGTTGGTAATCCAAAATATTTGAAATAGGATAGTTGTCCTGTTAAAAGGACAGATTAAAAGTATAAATCTTCTCTCCTTTTTGTATCTCCTCTCTGCCTTTATTTTTTTTTTGGCTTTTATTTCATTCTTTATCAGACTTACTTTGCATAGTAATGTTTGCAGATTGTATGCATCTTAACTTTGCCAGAAGACGGCTGACTGAGTAACCCATGTTAATTTGTGGTCTTGTAATTGTCTTCTCTGCCTTATTTCAAGGATTTGCCTTTTTTTTTAACCCAGTGACCACTGTGCTCTCTAGGGTTCGACCGATAACTTCCTGTTAGACATGGATGTGCCTCTTAAGAAAGTGTCCCTACTCTCCTTATTGATGAGCTGCTCACCCGGGTCTCGCCTCCAGGACAGTCCCAAAAGTCAGTGCTATTGAGATGTCAGTCTTCAGTTTCATCTGCTGAACCCAGACTTTAAGGCTGAGGTCCTGTGTTAGTGAGCTTCCATCCTGTGGGAGAAACTTTGGAGGCATTTTTTGTCTCCATTATTTGTCAACAAGAGGTGCCTTTAGACTCTAATGTTATCATCTCATTTGGTTGAACTTCTGATGCACAGTTTCACAAAACTGCTAACGTGGGTCTAATATAGCTGTGATTAAGCCTGTGCACAAAATATTACCTGATCTTAAGGATTGGTTTTCTAACCCAAGTTGATAGACTGCAGCCATCTTAATGGATGCCTTAGTAATTTGCTCTTCTTTCTTTCAAGACAGCGCCAGACATCTTTTGGGAGATTTTGCAGTCTAGCATTCATGCTGTTGCTCACTCGCTGTGAAAATTGTACATAGTTTCTGTAGCACAGCCTATGATACTGGCTAGCTGCCTCTCTGGTTTTGTTGTTTCATCAGCCCCATCTTTGTGAGTAACCCATCTTAAACCCTTCTTTAGAAACTGACTTGGGAAGAACTTGGTCATCCCGAAGTATTGTTTTTATCTGGTTCAGGATTCTCTTTTCCCTGGACATTTTGTTAATTTCTGAGACCAAAATGCTAAAAAGTTTTGTGCAATCTATTTTTCCAGTTATCATTTAATATATCAGTCGCTTCTCCAAGTTTCCCTAAATTAAGTTGATAGAGTGTGACAAGCAAAAATCTACCTTTGGAACCACAACATAGCTATAATTAATCATAGGCGAATAACTAGCATTGCAACTGGCTAGTTCCCCATAGATAACCCAAGTTCTGAAGAGACAGTGTTTCGCTTAGGCCAAAATCTAGGACTCATGTTCCTACCTTCCTGGTACAAAAGGGTTTAAGTCTGAATCTGTAATGGGAGCATTGCCTTTGCCAAATCATATGAGTGACAGGTTAACTATAAAATGTGACAATCACATTTCCTCTTTGCTCAAATAATTCTGTTTTTCCAAAGCTTTAGCAGCTTAATTAAATCTGTTGGACTGGAGGAGGAGAGAACTGTTCTCTAGCAGTTAACATAATATTCTTCAAGGAGAAAAAAACAGCCAAAGAAAACTCATTATTAGGCCTGCCCACCTTAAAGAAGCTGGTGGGTAAAATCTGGAATTTTAATGTTTTTGAAAATGCAATTCTTATACTTGGTGTGTTGGCCTCTAAGTCTAGTATTTCATGTGGAATTGTTACTGTGTTTTATGTTACATACATTTAACTGCCTACCTACCTTTCTTCATCCAGGATGACATTCTCACCTCAAGGGTATTGATAAAGCGGAGTAAAAATGTGCTGTTTATGTAGTTTGCTTAGAGGCAAAGAACCTGCAATTTTGCATCTAATGCAGGCCCTGCTTTGAGTTTTTGTCAGGATCAGTTATGAAACAAGTTTGGTGCCTCTTTATCATGGTTTTTTCCCTTGTAGCAGTTGTGTTTAATGTCATTAAAAAGAAATAAAAGTTCTTGTCAGTGGCATATGTACTGTGACCGTCTGTTGCAGGCTTTGAAGGAGGGTTCCTTCCTCCTTGCGTAGGTAGGTTAGTGGGGTATAGAAGGGGGTGGCAGTTAGTAGAACGTGGTGCTGGGGAGGCGGGTGCATGCTCCTATTCTTTTGAGGGTAAATTACAGTGTTGAAAAAGGCGTTCCTGCAGCTAAAGAATGTTGAAATTGATTGAGATTTGCAGCTACATATAGTGCATGTCAGGAGCCTGACACGGGGAGAGCCTGAAATATCACTGGGCTGCTGTTTTTGCATTTTGAAAATGGCTCCGCCTGATCAGACAGACATCGCCTTGCATTCCTTCCCATGTTTGTGTTTGACCTCTGTGCCTCTGCCACTCCAGAGTTAGCCCTGATTAAGGAAGAAGCTGAACCATCCTGGGACATTCTCCTTTTGAAAGGGATGTGAAGCCAGAATTGATAGTGCAAAATTGAAACTTGTTCTTCTCCAGAAATTGACTGTTCCTAGAATCTGGGCGAAGATTGGATAAGTATGGGTTGATGTGGGAGACACAGTGTTCCTTAGATCCTTTCTGTGAACCTAAGCTTCTTAGTACCCCCCAGGAACGAGGATGAAAGGGAAGGCAATAATAGCATGGCTCCTAGATTAGCCATTGCTTTTTAAAATTCAGCTCCTGCTGAGAAAATAAGGGGCAACATGTTTGGACAGGCTTTCTGAGCTGCTGCTCTATAAATTTCATCTAGTATATATTTTACAGTCCAAATAGAATGTTCAATATAAATTTGCTAAGTACTCAGCTATTTGGTTTGTTTGAGTCAGAGTTGCTTCTGACTTACACAGACCTATTTTGTTCCTGTCAGGTAGACAGTCCTTTGTCCAAGAATTCCTCATTTCCTTTTTCACAGTGTGACTGTAGGTTTCAAAGGTCTTGGAGACCAGGCTGGATTCTCTGGAATGATGGTTTCCCTTACCCTTCATTTGTTTCATGTTATGGGAAAGTGAGGAGAAAGACAAATGGACCTTCTCGAAAATGGGCTCATTCTGTAATCATTCTTTAAAACATTCTCCTGTTTTGAGCTTTTACAGAAAGAAAAGACCCTAAGTACCTAAAACTGGAAATCTGAGTTCCTTTCTTTTCTTGGTATTGTCCCGCTTTTCTGAGAGTAGACAATTATTCCTAAGCTGATCATAAGGTATGCTTGGCGTTGTATGCCAAAGCACCTGTCTGGAAAAAAATTCCTACTTGGCACAGGAAGTATCAGCTGGTCAGTGGTGGAATTCCTTAATGAACAAGCTCCTGCCTTGTCAATCCTCCCCACCTGTCTTTCCCCCATGACAACTGGAACATGCCATAGACAGAAAATCTGCCCCTCCCTAGCACCCACTGAGGAGGCAGTGGGCCCTAGCTGATTTGGCACATCGGGACTGAAGGATCTCAGGTTCAATTGCAGTCAAGGGCACAAGCCCCTCTTGCAGGCTCCATCCCCAGGAGGGGGCTTGTAGGAGGCAGCTGATTAATGATTCTCATCATTGATGGTTTCTATCCCTCTCCCTTTCTGAAATCAATAATTTTTTTTTTTTTTAAGAGAAGGGGAATGTAATTATTTGGACAATCTTCAAAGCAGCCCATGTGATAGTCATGAAATGTATCATTAAGGAACTATTTGTATACAAAGATTCCCTTCGATTTAGCTTCAAGTAGCTTGATGAGATTGGAGCTTGGGGGATAGTGTCCCATTTACATAAACAGTTTGTTGGAGACTACGTCTTAAAAGCAAAATCCAAATTCTGACAAATAGGTTTAAAGAAGGTGAGAAAGTGGAAGTCTGAAACACGATGTTTGGTGAGTTTTTACATATTTCTGTAAAGGGTTGCATCAGAGATCTTAAAAGTGGATTCTAGAGGAGGCCCATGCTGAACAGCTAGTGGTTGAGGGGACAGGATTACACGGAGTAAGGGGCTCTTACCCCTTTGAAACAGCCCACAGTCCTTCCCTAAATTCTGGGGTTCCCTCTCGTTCCTGTGAGGAAGCCCCTTAGCTCCTAGTCTAGGTGGTGAATGGGGTCTGACACATGAGGAAACCAAGGCCCACTCCCCATCACATCAAGTAACTGGCGTGAGGTGTTATGCGATACAAGGTGGGGTCTCCTGCCTCTCAGCCCTGCATTCCTCCCACAGGCCCACTGCGGCCTGCAGTCAGGTCTCGGCCTCAAAGAATAAGCAGTGAGCAATCTGGATCTATGTGCGTGGTGAGGAGAGACCGCTTCCCAAGACGAGTGTAGGGTTTGTATAACTTCAGTTGATTCAGGAAAAGCTCAGTCATTAAAGAACTTGGGGCTATGGGTAGGTAAAGGCAACAGAGTTTAAAGCAGGACTGTTCTCCCTTCACACCCTCAGGTGATTTACTATAGGCACAGATAAGGGGGACACAGGAAACACCCATTAGCAGTGCTTCCTGAACCCTACTGGCAGCTTTCTACACCTGATGCTGCCTTGGGGCTTCTCCATCACTTGGCACTGTGAGCACAGAGGACCTGGGAAGTGCCTCTCAGGTTTGGCTTACAGTTCTGTGTGCTAATGGACTTCTCTAAGACCTGCCTGCCTTTTGTTCTCAGAATCTTCCAGAACAGCCTTCCCTAAGCCCAATCACCAAGTTCTTGCTGGTTCTGACTGGAATGTTCAAGGTGTGCCATTTACTGGTTTGCTCATTGGCTAATGGCACTATTACTCCACCTTTCAGCCTGATGTTGGGACCGTAAGGATGTTCCTTTAACAGCCCAGAACGGCGTGCTGTGAATACTGAGCCGCAGCAAGCAGCTCTGCAGTTCCTCTTCACTTCCCTCCCTGCTCACCCCTGGGAGAAACAGACTGCATTCCTCTGGCCAGGGAAAGCACCAACCCTGTCCAAGGGGAAAACCCTTTGTTTTAAAAACCGAGCACCAGTCTGCATACCTATGCGGTGAGGCAGCCCAAGCCTGGTTTAGGGTCCGGGGGCGGGGCTCAGTAATAGGATGATGGAGCAGCTATTTTCTCCTCCTACACGTGCACCCCCATCTGTTCGAGATTTCCCTTCCAACTCCAGCTTGGCTGGCAGGCATGTCCCCAGGAAGCTGCAGGCCAAAATGGAGAGAGAACTGAGCGTCTGCCAACTGCCAGAAAAAGAGGGCAGCGCTTGGGCATTTACCAGAAGACCAGGACGTGCCTTTTCATTTGTCTTTTTATTTTCGTTTAAAAAGTGGTTATTGCTCTAACTGGATCAGAGGTAAGGACCTCTCCCCCTAGGGAGCCTTGGCCTTGCAGCCCCATTCAGCGGGATGGAAGTCACAGACAATGAGTGAAGCCGCATGCCCTCCCCATGGGGAAGCCCTTAGTGTTGCTGACATCTGCCTTGTACCCTGTCTCTCCTCCCTCCCTGTGTCCCACACTCGGACGTGGTGGCCGGCCCAGCCGGGAGAGCTCCTGTAGACTGGAAGGAAGGGTGGTCGCTGGGCGATGGCTTTCAGCTCTCTGGCTTGGGGCTATTGCTCTTACTCGGTCCAACAGGCATTCAGAGCACCTACTGTGTGCCAGGCTACTGCTAGGCGTGGTGCTCCCACACTGCCGTCCGCAGCCACCACTGGAAGGCGCAGAGGTCCTCTTCCGTGCAGGCGTTCAGCTGCCACAGCTTGTCAGTCCTGGGGAAGGGTCTGCCTTCCCTTATCAAGCACCAGGTTTTTGTTTTTGTTTTTGTTTTTTACCAGAAAGGGGCAGTGGAGAAAGACCTGTCACCTCACACCACACCGGCTCTAGGGAAGGACATGAGGACCCTGGGTAGCTTTCGCAGAACCCTGGATGAGATGCAAGATATGAAGACCCCAGAGGCCACGGCTGCTCTGAATGGGTGGCTCAGGCCTGCCTTCCAGCAGCTTCCACCGCAGCCCGGTGACTTAGCGGTCCTCGGGATGTCCCACGGGAATGTGCCTTTCCGTTGTCCTCGTCAGCACTGTTGTCACAACAGGAGATTTTCCTAAAGAAATGGGGCCAATACCTTCCAGCTGTCTTTCCTACTTTTTCTTAAACCCCAGACTGATGGTCTTACAGTCAAAATAAGAGCCAAAAAAGATAGAAGGTGCAGGCAACCAGCTCCGGGAGTCCCTCTGGCCCTCTGGAATGAAGCCCTTCAATTGTGTTTTCCAAGAGACAAAACAGATAAATCTCACACACACACACACACACAAAGTTGTGCATCGCACCACAAACAAGTCCTTAATGGCTGAATCCAGAAAAGGCTCCACGGCTTCCCGACCGGCTCTTGGTCTGAAAGAGCCGAAGTCAGTCTCGGTGCTTGTCCTCTCCCAGCAGCTTTGTGCATCTCCTCAGAGAGGAAGGCCGTCCGGGAGACGAGAGGAGGCAGGCAGAAGGCCGTGTCTCATGCAGCTTTGCCTTTTCCAGAATGGGGCCGGGACTCGTTTTGTGGCTTGTTTATTTTTTTTGCAGAATTTGGGTTTGTAGTTCAGTCTCCTTCAGCAGACTAGGACATCGGGGGGAGAGAACTGTGCAGCTAGCCGTAGCTCCCCTCCACTGCAGTCCTCCCCTCCCTGTGCCCGTGGACCTGGGGACCAGCAGAGAAGAAAAATGAAATCCTTCTCCCTGTAGACAGGTAGTCACGCTTCAATGATGATCACCAAGAGCTTGTTTGGAAACTGGGAGGAAAAATGAGAGAAGCGGCCAGGGCTGACTGAATAGACTTCTCGCAAGGTTGCAAACAGAGGACAAGAGGAGGAAGGGAGCTGGAGAGCCAGGCAGGCTCTTGTCCCCCGTGGAGGAAAGGAGCAGCCTGCCTGCACGTCTTGTCTCTGCCATCTCAGACCCAGCCTTCAGCTCACTCAGCTGAACAGCCAAGACTGGGTCCTGGGCCCACTGCCCCGGGCCCCGTCACCCCCAGCAGAGCCATCCTGCCGGCTGGTGCTCACGTCCTGCAGATCTGCCTCAGCACAGCCTCAGCCACTGCCATGGTTGCGGTGCTTCTGGAGATGGGGGTTAATAAGAGGCTTCAGGAAAATGCGCCAGAAAGAGGGAAGCCGAGGGAGAGGACAGTAAGCCGGAGGGTGTGAGGGTATGGGGGCGGAGGAAATGCGGAGAGGGCCAGATGTTTGCTGGGTATCATCGCCTGAACCATGAGATCCTCTCACATTCTCCACTGTCTTCTGAGCTGCCCAGAGCCAGCACTGAAAAGGTTTCATATCTGTTTCACACAAGAGGAAATACGGGACAAAGAGCTGACGCACCTGCCCAAGGTCACAGCACCGCCGCTGCAGAAATGAGCTCAAAGCCCATCTCTTCTCGTCCACACCAGCCGAGAGTTCTGCCCTCCCCATTCACCGTCGTCCGTGTGTGTCCCCCCCCCCCCCCCCCCCCCGCTTTTAACCCTCATTGGCCCCTGGCACCCTGCAAAAGGAGAGGATCCAAAACCAACTTGCAGAGTCCCCTGGGTCACACAGGCAGCAGCCAAGCTTGGCTCTGCCCAGCTGTAGCCATGCCAGACCCCACGTTGACCCCTCTCAGTCCAGGGACTCCCGGTGCCTGAGCCACGGGGCCGCCCGCCCAGGCCCCAGCCCTGCCCTCACCTTGCTGCGGAGAAGCCCCCCGCCTTGGTGCTCTGGTGTGCTGGTTTCGGACGCGCTCTTGGTTTTTTCCTTGTTGTTGTTGGGCTCGTTGTCCTTGATAATGTCATACTGGCGGCAGAAGAGGACGATGACGCCTGGGGGACAGGGGAGAGCAGTCAGAGTCCTTGCCCGCCAGCTCCCTCGCCCTGAGCCCTTGCTGAGCTGGTTATGTGCTGAGCTCCAGATGGCCTCTCACCTGCACCACTGCCACAGCCTGCCCCTGGTCTCTGGCTCCTGTGCCCACCTGCCCCTGCCCATCCCCTTCACTGCTGCTGGGTTGGTCTTCCTACAACCTGTGTCTGATCATGTCTCCTCCCTTCCCTTCTTTTAAAGGTCTGCGTCCGCCCCCCTTCCTTTAGGGGGACATAGAAACAGCGTCCGCTGAGCACTGCCAAGCTGTGCTGTGCACTGACACGTTCCTGTTTTTTTTTTGTTTTTGTTTTTTAATATATTTTATTGATTTTTTTACAGAGAGGAAGGGAGAGAGATAAACAGCTAGAAACGTTGATGAGAGAGAAACATCGACCAGCTGCCTCTTGCACACCCCCTACCGGGGATGTGCCCGCAACCAACGTACATGCCCTTGACTGGAATCGAACCTGGGACCTTTCAGTCTGCAGACCAACGCTCTACCACTGAGCTAAACCGGCTTCGGCGCAATGACACATTCCAGCTCACGGAGTCCTCGTGGCACTGTGAGGCCCAGTGACCCTCCCCAGGTGAGAGTGAGGACTGAGCAGAGCTCAGGTGACTTACTCAAGGCCGCTTCGGGGTGGAGCCGGGGTGTGCACCGGGGCCTGCAGTCTGCGAAATGTTTATTTTATTGAACTGATACAGGAGCATCATAAGCTTTTTTGGAAGTTGGATAGTACTAAGGCAGCCAACTCCAGTTCTTGTGTTTTCCCTATTTTTACTTCTAGTCTGGATTACAGTGGTTATTTCTTGGCCTATCTGTTTTAGATATTATCTCTTGACCCCCCACCATGGTAGTGTCAGGGATGGCCAGGGTGGCCTCTGCCTGGAAATAGTATTCTGCGTTCTCAATTCTTGCCTTCTCGTAGGGACGAATTTAAACAAGAGACAACAAGCAGGCGGGAATGTATTTGCAGAAAAGGAACACACACAGCTATTGTCTGAGTGTATACGGCAACTCAGTCACTGGAAACCAAACCAGGTGCCCTGCTTAGTGGGGGTTTGGGTATTTATACCCTTAGACTGGATTGCCTTAAACCTAAGTCTCCCCCTCCCTTATTTCTCAAAAACAGTATCTTCAAGTTATAAGGCCCCTCCCCCAGGTTTACCCCCCCAGTTAGACCGCATCCCGGAGGCTCTGGCTCTTCTCACAGAGGGGCCTGCCACCTCCACCGTCTGACTGTGGCGTGTCAGGCCTCACACAGATCCCCTCCTGGCTGCCTTTCCCAGCACATACCTTTCAAGCTGCCTCCTCTAACAGCAGATGAGGCCTAACCACTCCCCCTGCTTCCTTCCCCATCGCCCTAACAGAATTACGTGACGATTTTGGGTTCATTCACTATGTTTATATTGTTGTGATTTCATAAACACTATCTGTGCCAAGTCTAATAAAGCATCGTAAGCAAACCTCCTCTTTTGTATAACCCTTTCCCCCCAAGTGCCTGTTTTTCTATGAGCCTATGGAACCTCCCACCCCCTCACCCCCCAATTCTTCCACCTGAGAGAGCCTGCCCCTCACCCACTGCTGACACAGCTCAGGCATCAGGTCCTCCACAGACTCCAGTCACTCCGCCGCCTTGCCGTCCTTCACTCCCTACCTCGTTCTTGGGTCACAGCCGCCCTGAGCCCACTGAGCTTAATCTGTTTCTTGAACACACTGTGCCCAGAACATCCTTCCTTCCTTTTTTTTTTTTTGGCTGCTGGGTGAACTCCTATTCATCCTTCAACGCTCACATCCCATGTTCCCGCTCTTTGTGTTTTTCCTGTTTTCTGACTCCTGGCCCCTGAATGAATTCCCTCTCCGCTGCTCCCATACACAGTCTTATGACAGCACCCATCCCGTTGAATTGTAGTTCATACGGGCCGGGCTTCTCCCAGGCTTGCTGGTAGGTATGAGGCTCTTAGCCCTCGCTAAGGAACGTAGCACTATAGACAGTGAAGTGGCCGCTCAGGAAACGCGGATTGAATACAAAAATGAAATTTGATCTTTCTCCTCAGAGAGCTTACAGATAAGTGGAAAAGAGAGTTATAAGCCCAACTAATTTATCTAAGAAGGGCTGAGGAGGGGCAAACAGGGTGCTGTGGAGGCACCATGACAGGAATGACCTAGTGCCGTGGTCGGCAAACAGGCTCGCGAGCCACATGCGGCTCTTGGGCCCCTTGAGAGTTTCTGTGAGAGAAGGGGTCAGGTCAGGGACTGCCCTTCCCAGACTCACCGGCCCACATGAACAGGACAACCACGATGATCAGCACCTCGCCCGTCTGCAGCTGCTGGTTCCGCCCCATCTCCTGCATGGTCACCTCATCTGTGGGGAGAGAGACGCTGGGTCTGGGCTCCTTCCCTCCCCCAGCCACTCCTCTGTGGCCAAGCCCAAGAAAGTAAGCGCTTCTCTCCGTATCGGTGCCCATGCACCTAACAAAAAGAGGTTCTAAAACACGCTAATGGCTACTCGGAGTGGCAGCGATAAGGCAATCCAAAACGAATGTTTATATACCCATTGATTGGGTCACTACAGTGACCTCCTCTCTCTCTCTTAGGTACTTTACGAGGTGCTTTACTAGGCAGAGGGGAAGAGAGGGGACAGGTAGGGGGGCAGCGGAGGGAGGAGTATGGGAAATCAGTGCTTTCTTCAACCTCTAGTGCTCGGGGCCTGACCAGCCCTCGCCCACCGCGCCCCACCCGCCCTCAGTGCCGGCCTGCCTTTGTTCTTGGAGGCCATCTTCTCGGCCTCCCGCGGCGTCTTGAAGAGCACGGGCTCGCTGGCCGGGCTCTGGCCCTGCACGGAGATGGCCTGCACGTGCACGATGTACTCCGTGTCCTCCTCCAGGTCCCAGAGGGCGCAGGAGCGGGTGGTGGTGTTCACCTCCTGGATGAAGCGCAGCATCCGCACGTCCTTCTTCTGCCAAAGGAGAGCCAGCCCGGGGTTCCGGTGCCCAGTCAACACCTATCTGCCACCTCCAGCCGCAGCCTCGGGCTCACCTGGCCACCGTGCTAAGACCTTTGCTGCAGACATCATCTCACTGACGCATTCCCCCATCTCTGCAGACCTCCTTATCTCTGCTGTACAGAGGAGGCGGCGGGGAGGGGTGAGGGAAGGTGCCCAGAGCCATACATCGCGTGAGAAGTGGAGCCAGGCCCAAATCTCAGGTCTGCTTAAGATCAAAACCACACTCTGAAGTCCCGGGTTCCGAACAAAGGCTCCAGAGCCCACCCTCCCCGACCGATCCCCTTCGGGGCCCCTGTTGAGCTGTCAGTGCCATTTTCCTGCCAGTCTGCCCTGGCCTCAGCCCCTTTCTTCCTCCTCCCTCACCCACCACCATCTCCCCTCCCAGGGGCTTACCTGCTGAGAGATGGCGAATCCGATGACAACCTCATCCTCCAGGACATCCCAGCTCACCACCGCCGAGTTGGCCTTGAGGTGCCTGACAGTGACGTTCACTGGGGCGGAGGGGCTGTCTGGGGGGGAGGGGGGAGGGACCTGAGCCTGAGCACCCCCCGCGGGGAGGCCCAGGCCCACTGTCTCCCTGGTGAGCCTGGGGAAGGCCGTGCAGTGGGAATGGGAGAAACCAAGGCCTTCCTGGGGTTGGCACATGGGCCTCAGGTTCCTGGTGGGGTGCAGGACCAGGCTGGGGAGGCCCAGGCTCCATGTGTCCAGGAAGGGAACCCCAGATGCCCACAACTGGCCCTACCGGGGGGGCAAGCTAAAACACAGGGGCCTGGGCCAGTGGCAGATCTGATGGAGGGGCGTGAAGAGGTGAGGAGACAGGGTGGGGAAGACCGAGTGGCCAGGGTTCAGGAGCTGAAGGTTAGTCTGATGAAAAGCAGTCCCATCCAGTGCCCTTTCTACAGGACTCGCTGCACTGCCAGGGGAGTGACCTTGAGGACAGGGCAAGCCCAGAGGCGGAGAAGAACCAGGCCGAGGATGGGAGCTGGGGTCAGGGAGGAAGCCTCGGTGTTGTGGGGACCAGGCAGAAAGAAGCCTGCGGAAGGGCCTCTGTGTGCTCTAAACTGGCAGGCGGGGAGGCGACGGGGGAAGATGGGGTCCCTCAGCCCAGAGTCCAGGGCAGGCAGGGCCTTCTGGATGTGGGAAGAGGATGGAAGGGCGTCAGCGGAGAAGAGGAGGAGGAAGTGATGGGGGCAGAGGGTCCGGAAGGAAGACCCTTCCAGGACAGGGGCAGTGGAGTCACAAGGGACAGGCGCTGGCGCCGACGGGAAGATCTGGGCGTGAGCAGCACCCCTCGCCCCACAGATGACAGACAGTGGCCCCGGAGAGAGACAGACGGACACGGGCAGGTGGCGGCAGACACAGACCCAGGGGACAGACCGGCGGGGTACGTGAGGCAGACACAGAGATGGGAGCAGTGAGCCTCGGAGAGAGGGAGAGGGAGAGATGAAGGAGGCCACAGCAGCCGGAGGGGAGCGGGGCGAGGATGAGGCCAGGCCCTGCGGGGCAGGCCAGATGCCGACTGCACCGGGCCCCCCGGGGCCTGGGTGCCAGCCCCTGTCCTCACACATGCTCACTGGGACCCACTGGGACCCACTGGGCCCCGCTGGGCCCTCCCTCTCTGACCTGCAGAGTTGGCTGCAGGGCTTTGGGGGCAGGGAGGGAGGCCCTGGGTGGGGGGACTGGTGTCCTCGGCTGCTCCCCTGCCAGAGCAGGGGGCTGGGGACCTGAGGCAAAGGCTTGGGCTCAGGGCAATGGAGTGAGGGGACTGAGGTCACAGGACCCTGGCCCCAGGGCTGGGTGGCTGGCAGGGAATTGGGGGGTGGAGGACGGGGCTGGGGGTCGGGAAGGCAGGGAAGAGGCTGGGGCTGGCATCAGGGAGCGGTGATGGGGCAGAGACGGAGTCCCAGGAAGCAGGGGAGGGAACTGAGGACTCCCCGCCCCCCACCCCCACTCCAGGGCCCCCTTACCCGCCTGCACCAGCGCGAGGCAGACGCAGCCCAGCCAGAGGCGGTGCATGGCGGCGGCGGCGGCCGGCCGGCCCGGGGCGGCGCAGGGGGACGCGGCTCCGGCTCCCGGCGGCCGCTGGCGCCCGCGATCCGGCCCGCGGCCCGCCCGGCCCGGCCGCCCCGCGCCGCCCCGCGCCGCCTGCATGTCGGCTCCGCGGACAGCGACTCCCGCGCGGCGGCGGCGGCCGCGTCCACGTCGGGCGCCCGGGGGGCGGGGCGCCCCAGCTGCGGGGAGACGCGGGGCGGGGTGAGGGCCGAGGGCGCCCCCCTCCGCTCCCCACCCGGCCGGCAGCCAGGTCCGCGGGGCCCCACCTGGCCGCCCCCTCTCGCCGGTGCCGGAGCGCACACGGCTCCTCCGCGCCCCACCGCCTCCCTCCCTCCCTCCCCGCCCCCCGCGGCCGGCCCAGCGCCGCCCTCTCCCAGCGGGACAGGTGCTCCCCGCGCCTCTCCCCCACCCTGTGGTCTTGGTCTCCCCTCGCCCCACACCCAGGGCCTCGCTGGCTGGGGCAGGAGGGAGCTGGGGCGCTCCCCGGCAGGGATGGCTCCCACAGAGCGCGGGGCGAGTGCGGGGCGCACACAGCAGGTGCTCAGGGTTTGCCCTGCGGCCGGGGAGAGGGGCGCTGACTCCCCGGAGGGCCTGGCTCCGTGGCCCCTGCCCGTCCTCCCCCATCCCTGCGCCTCCGCCGGCCTCTCCGTGGGGAGAGTAACCCGGAGCACCTGCTCAGGAGGTGCCAGGTTCTGTGCGAAGGGCTTTGCTTACTTCTCACCCTGAGGCCTGGCTCCACTTTCCAAGGACTGGCAGGGAGGAGACTGCAGCTGGAGAGGCTGCTGCCTGGCTGGTGGGGACGCGGGCATTGGACACGGGCTGACCTGATTGATCCCCAAACCTGTGCTTGACTCACTGTCTCCCACCTGAGCGAGCTCAGTCACTTTGGGAGCCCTGGGACCCTAGAATTCGCTCGTGCCAACTCCTTCCTACCCAGAGAACAATCTGGAACGATCTCTTCCCAAGAGCGGGATGAGGGAGGGGTGGCCCCAGGCCTCCCCTTTCCCCGCCCTGCCCTCCTTCTCTCCCCGCCCCCTCCCATCCTGGCAGGCGGAGTGCTGTGAGCAGCGGAGGAGCTAATGGCTCTAAGTGCTTTAGCCAGGGCCGGCAGCCTGGGCCGGCAGCCCCAGTCCTAAAAGGGCTGGATGGCCCCTCCCTCGTTACCTTGGGACACTTAGAGCCTCTTACGGTCCCTACCTCAGTCCCGCACCGTTCCACCCAACCCACTTCCTTTCTGACCTGGAGCACCAGGCACCCACCATCTGACCACCATCCTCTCCCAATGATCTCTGGACACCAGACAGCTGGGCGCCTCCCCGCCCCACACTGACACTCTCCCCCCCAGGCCCCCCCGAAGCAGGCTGAAGAGGCAGGCACAGACCGGGCCCTGGGCCCCTGACACGGAAGGGCCCCTCATCTCTGCCCACTGTCTGGCATTAAAGGCCTGGCCTTCCCCAGACCCCGGGAGGGCTAATCCTTCCCAAGGGGCCACCTGGCAAAGTCACCCACAGAGCCCTGTTCAGGATCTGCCCCCGCCCCCCTTTAGGTTAGGACACTGAGGTGCAAATTCCCACAGCGAGTCCAGGGCAGCAACAGAGCCCTTGGCAGACTCTCCCCCAAGGCCTCCTTGAGCTGCGTCCTTTCTACCTGGTCTCACCGGGAGGGGCTCGGGGTTCTTGCTGAGCAGCGGGGTTTAACGGGCCAGCCCCTCAGCCCCCCCAGGCCTGCTCTGCGTGGCCGGCTGACCCTTCCCCGGCCCCCTCTGCTCCCTCAGCCACATACCTCGTCCTCTGGTCAACCTGGGAACCAGAGCACCTCTCTCTGTCCGTTATCTCTTCTCTCTCTTTTTCTTTCTTTCTTCCTCTCTCTTTCTCCTTTCTCTTCTTTCTCTCTCTGGCAGCTGCGTTCTGCCCCGCCCCACCCGGCCCCGCCCCGCCCCACCAGCTGCAGCCGGGCCCCTGGGGACCCCCTCACCCACCAGGCAGGAAAAGGCAGCCCAGGCCTGCAGGAGCAACTGGAGTCTCCTGAGGTCTCCTGGCAGGAGCCAGCAGGAAGGAGAGGGGTTATCTAGAGGTCACAGAGCCCACTCCTGTCCCTGCTGAGAAGAGAAGGAGGGAGGGACACGACAGGGTCCTAGTGGGGTCTGGAGTCCAGTCCAGCGCTGGAGCAGAGGGGGCCTCGGCGCCACCTGCTGGTACATCCAGGTATGACCCCAGGTAGATATAGGGCACTGGGAGGGGGGAGATGGCTGTGGAGTCTGAGAGGGATGGGGAAGGGTTGCGGGAGTTGGGACATGAAAGACTGAAAGACGGGGAGGATTCGGAGAGGTGTGGATGAGGGGTGAACCTCCCCAGAGCCCAGGCTGCACGGGGCGCTTGGGCATTCCCTCGATTCTGGGAAAAGGCCTGGTGCTTGGAGCATGGCAACGGCGGAAACTGGGCTGGGAGTGAACAGAGCGAGGAGGATGTAGAGGCCTGGAGGCCTGGGAGAGGACTGTCAAGGCCATTCAGAGATGTGTATCTCTGAGCACAGAGCTAGGAGCAGGAGTGCCCACTAACGTTTGTTGAAGGTAGGAACAATTTTGTTCTCCCAGCATACACTTATTGAACATCTATTCTGGGGCGATAGCGGTGGAAGAATGAGTAAATGCACGGATGAGGGTCTGAGTGGAGGCTGGAGGGTGAGCCTCTATCCTCCCAGGCTGCACTGGGCTCCTCTGGAGGACTCCACGGACGGCTCCAGGGAGGCGGACCGGTCACTTACACGTTGACACCTGGGAGGTCATGAGCATTGGATCCTCCAGAGTCCAGAGTGTCTAGTGATCCTTCCCGGAATCACAGCACCTCACCAGGCTGCAGGCGCCTCAGCCATATCCTGGACAGCCATGGGCAGCTCCTCTTTGCTGCCTAGAATGGCCATGCGACTAGAGACCCCCTCACCCCAAAGCCCCCAGAAGAATCAGGAGAAGGGCAGGCATTGCTTGGAGACAAAGTAATCAAGCACCCACGAAGGACTGGCTGTTTGTCCATGTAATTTGGGGTCTCAGGCAGTAAGTGTCATCAGCTCCCATTCCAGATCGGAAGCTGAGGCTCACAGATATATGGGGACTTGCCCTGGGTCACACAGCCAGTGAATTACAGGATCGTGTCTCAAATTTGGTCATGTGGCTCCCAGTTTAGGTCTGGATCCAGTCTGCCTTCTTCCTTCCTTCCCCTCTGAGGGTGTGTCAGGGCAGGGGGCCAGGGCCAGGGTTCACTAGAAGACATATATTTTCCATCCCTGAGGGCTGGGAGGGGGCTTGCCGCTCACACAGGCAGCTGCTAAGACAACTCCTGGGGAAGGACCCACTCTCCCCAACCTTGTCCACAAGCCAGCACCTTACATACATGAGAGAAGCTTCTCAACATAAAATAAAGGCTCACTGTGCCTGCCCAAGCATGTAGACTGGGCTGTTGAAAGTAGGGCCAGGTGACCTGTGGGGTTGCAGGGGGACTGCAGGGTCACCTGGATGGGTCTTTCCCTGGCGGAGTAGCTCAGTTGGTGAGAGAATCATCCCATAGCCAAGGTGGCAGGTTCCATCCCTGGTCAGGGCACATACAAGAATCAACCAGTGAATGCATGAATAGGCAGGACAACAAAATCAGTATTTTTCTCTTTCTTTCCCTCTCAAAAATCATTAAAATAAAATAAATAAACAAAAAACGCGAGGCCTTGGCCCGAGTGGAAGCCACGGACAGGGAGAGAAGTCGATGAAGGCTTTGGGACACTTGGCAGGAGGAGCTGACAGAGGAGACGCGGGGAGTGCAAACAGGGAAGAGGAAGAAGGAACAGGCCAGGGGAGATGATCCAGAGTCTGGAGTCTAAGCCAGAAACGGCTGGCTGGGTGCCCTGGGCCAGTCGCTCTACCTTTCTGAGTCTCAAATGCCTCCTCGCGAAAAGGAAGGTAATAATATCCATCCCGCAGAGAGGTGGAGGTGGTGACGGAGGCTAGGAACGAGGAAGCGGGAGGAGAGGGAGGAGAGGGAGGAGAAGGAGGAGGGGGGTGGGGAGGGAGAGGAAGGAGCTGAGAGAAGCCTTCTGATTGGGTGAGGGAGACCTCAAGCCTCTTCAGTTTTTCAGTCTTCAGAGGCATCGCCTCCCCCTGCTGTGCTCAGAAAGGCGGTGAATCTTCCCCGGCACAGTCTGCCAGTGGCGACTCCGCGTCTCAAGTTGCCTCAAGCCCTGGACCCCAGCGTTGCTCTAGGAGACGGAGTCTCAGCTACAGACCGCAGTCTCTAAGACCCCGCAAGAGCAGAGGGACCAGAGGTCCTGTTTTATTTTATTATTATTATTTTTTAATTTCTTTATTGATTAAGGTCCCATAGGTCCCGTTGTAGATGTGGAGGGCGTGTGGCAGGACGTGAAGCAGCTGGCGTAAATCCCTTCCCCACCAGGGAGGGATGGAAGGCCCGGAGCCTGTGAACTAGACCGCTATGAGGCTCAAAACTCAGCTCAGCCCCTGAGTACCCGCAGGCACCACCATCTGAAGTCAGGACCCGAGGCTCAAGGGCCTGCCCACCCCTACATCCCAGGAGCAGGAGGATCCCATCCCTTACTTTGAAGGGTCATGGCTTTACAGGGCCAGGGCATGGCCAGCAGAGGGCGCCCACCACGGTCACAGGAAAGCCTGTGTGGCCCAGAACAGGAAAGGCTCCAGGGACAGAGCGCCCAGCTGGGAGCCACTGCCCGGCTTTCCCTTAGCCTGGTTCCCGGGGGCAGACGACAGGCTCAGCAGCCAGGCAGAGCCTGCGTCTTGCTGCTGCTGCACGGTGCACACGTCACTGACCCTCTCAGAGCCTCAGTTTCCTCACCGCTCAATGGGCCTACCAGCAGTGTGTGCTCACGGGGTTCTGTGAGTAATCAGCGAAGATTAACCACAGAGGGGCCAGATACACAGGCGCTGCTATTTTTACGGATGGTGGGGGCAGGTGTAGTGTGTCTTAAAGTGCCTGACACAGAGTGTCCCACCGGTGGTAGCTGTGACGACCAGGATGACGATGATAACGGTGCAAGACTCAGTCACTGCTCATGTGGAATTTTCCTAACTCTGAAGCCACCCAGAGCCTATTGGCCTGGGATACCTTCAGTGACAGGGAGCTCACTACCTCCCAGCAGCA